TTTGGAAATTCCAATCATGGAATTGCTGTCTCTCTAGCGCCCCCATCAGTGAGTGAGAGATATTGGCATCCCCATGCAAGAGAATCCCTTTTGACTTAGCATTTTAACCAGGGAAAACGGGCGAATGTAACAAGGAGAACCCTAAGAGAGACATACATGGATCCCCCTAGGAAGGGGAAATAGATAAGATCTCCTGAGAGAATTGGGAGAGTGGTGGTGCAGGGTGAGGAGTGGGGTAGGGGAAGGGGAGGAGGACGTGAGAGAACAGGTTGGCTGAGGCTGGGGTGGGGAGTGGGGGAGGAGGACAGAGAGGGAGAGCAAGGAAAGAGATATCTTGATTGAGGGAGCCATTATAGGACTACCGAGAAACATGGCACTAAGGCAATTCTCAGGAATCCACAAGGATGATCCCAGCTAAGAACCTAAGCATCAGTGGAGAGGGTGCCTGAACTGTCCTTCCCCTATAATCAGACTGATGACTACCTTAATTATCGTCATAGAACCTTCATCCAGCAACTGATGGAAGCAGATGCAGAGATCCGCAGCTAAGCGCTGGGCAGAGCTCCCAGAGTCCAGTCCAACAAAGGGATGAGTGATAACATGAGCAAGGAGGTCAAGACCATGTGGGGGAAACCCACAGTAACAGCTGACCTAAGCTAGTGGGAGCTCACGGACTCTGGACTCACAGTGGGGCAACCTGTACAAGGCCAAACTAGGCCCTTTGAATGTGGGTGACAGTTGTGTGGCTTGGACTGTCTGTAGGGCCACTGGCATTGGGACCTAGATTTATACCTAGTGTTTGAATTGACTTTTTGGAGCCCTTTCTCTTTGAGGGGATACCTTGCTCAGCCTAGATATAGGGGGAGGACCTTAGTCCTGTCTCAAAATGATGTGCTACACTTTGTTGACTCCCCATGAAGCCTTACCTCTCTGAGGAATGGATGGGAGGCAGGGTGAGGAGAAAGTGGGGGAGCAGGGAGAGGGGAGGGAGTGGGAGTAGCTACCTTCTCCAACCCATCATCTTGATTTGTTTTTGAGAACACCTTGACCCTTCCTGACCCCCCTAATCACATGGTGGGTGATCACATGACCTTTTTAAAAGTTTTTTTTTTAAAATTTCTTTATTGCTCCATTGTCTCTTTTCTGTAAAATTACTCATGATTTTACTCCTTAAAAGGGGCCCAAGAGGTAGATTCAGGCTGTCTGTGTCTCTCTCTCGCTTCCTCTCTCTCTCTCTCTCTCTCTCTCTCCTTCTTCGTTTTTCGAGACAGGGTTTCTCTGTGTAGCTTTGGAGCCTATCCTGGCACTCGCTCCGGAGACCAGGTTGGCCTCGAACTCACAGAGATCCACGTGCCTCTGCCTCCCGAGTTCTGGGATTAAAGGCATTCACCACCAACGCCCGGTTAGGACTGCTCTCTTTAACTCAATTTAGCAGGTAGTTTCAGGCCAACTCTTGGTGCACCCCAATAAAAATCAAGGTTGCTTCTAATTCCACTCAAATTAGTGGTCTTATCCTCACCATTGGGATTAACAAGAGGATTTAGCTGTTGCAAGATATTTGATCATACCCCGAGATTGTGTTATTTACTGGAAAAACCTGCTTCTCGCTGTGGTGTGGCTCAGCCCTACTATACACCTTTTAATCCAAGAGTTTTGTGCTTGAATATTGTAAACTGGGTTAAATAAAATTAACTTTAGGTCAAGAGGCAGAGCAAGCAACCAGTTGACTGGGAAAAACCCATAGAGTTTAAAAGGAAGTCAGGAGGATGGAGAGAGAGACACACATACACACAGGAAGTAGAAGGGAGGGATATCGAGTTGGAGGAGTTTTTGTTTCAGTTGGTGCAGGAGAAAGTTTCTTTCTGGGATGATGGAGGAGCAGCTGGGTGTTTTCTCTGCCTCCCTGAACAATTAGGTTTTCACACTAGCATCTGGCTCCCCAGTCTTTATTGATAAAATAGAACGTTAAGGACTTAGTTAAAAACAACACTTAGATATGTGCAGAGGATGACTTGAAACATCTGATTCTCTTGCTCTCATCTCTCTGACTCCACCCCTGGATTAAGCAGTGCTGGGGGTCAAACCCAGGGCTTTGTGCTTGCTTAGTAGGCAAGGCTTATACTGACTGAGGCCCATGCCAGCCCTACTCCACTTCTCTTTATGGAGCTGCTGGGACAGGAGGACAAGAGACCCTCATCTTGCTGCTCTTCTGCACACAGAACAGAAAAACAACACACCCATGCATGTACTATTTGTTTGGCTGATAAGGTAAACACTGCACTTGAGGCTTCTCTGTGGCCTTGTATTGCTAACAGGAATAGCTTCTTTTTCTAAGGGCTCTTTCTTGGGCTTTGCTTCTTGTGAACCAGTGGTCCAGAACTGGATCAAGTAAGCATAGTTGACAGCACTGGATCATGTAAGCGTAGTTGAGAATACAGTGAGAAATGGCATCGCCCTATACAGTATGCTGTCACAGTATGCTCACCGCAGCTGTGTTCAGGGCAGCTGTGCAGGGTATGTTAAAGTTAGGAAAATGTGTTTCTTTCTATGTATGGATTTATAGTGTATCTTTTCTGAGAGTTCATCTGTGTGTGTGTGTGTGTGTGTGTGTGTGTGTGTGTGTGTCCTTGAGCTGGCAGGTAACAAAAAATGTGAGTAGGAAAATATGGAGGTGTGTACCTATGCCAATTAAGTCCTAATGAAGACTTGATTCAGAATGCTGTAGTCCACATTCTGCTGAACAATACGCCACTAAAGCCCCTCTTGATATTGATTTTGGAGAAACTAAAAATTTCTGTACTGGGAAAAATAATCATACAGTAAAATGTAAGTGATAACATAGGAATATACTTACAAAATGTATACGAAAGGCTAATGTCCTTGCTACAAAAAGCTCATACACACACACACACACACACACACACACACACACACACTCAGAAAAAAGAAAAAATAAGCCCAGATTTGGGCCACCAGGTATGAGAGGGAATCACCAGCAGCCCCTGGCTCCTTTCTTTCCTTACACTATGTCTGTCGGCCCCTGCTCTCACAGCTCTTCTGAAGGCTTGTTCCACCAAGAACAAAGAATCCTATTTTATGTCTGCTAGTCAGAACCTCTGCTCTTTCCATCCCTTTGAACTGACGAGTCTATCCATATAATATTTTAGGCCTGGAGAGGTGGTTCAGAGTTTAGGAGCACTTGCTGCTCTTACAGAGGACCCAAGTTCCAATCCCAGTAACCATGTGCTGGCTCACAACCATCCTTAAATCTAATTCCTGTTGCTCTGACACCATCTTCTGCAAATGGTGCACTTACATGCAGAGTAAACACCCATCCACATAACACACAAACCTTTTTTTTTTTTTAAATTGAAGGAGGCGGAGGAAAAGAGAACCCAATATACAAACTGCAGGAAACCCCTTACAGTACTGTCCAAGGGATCACCGTGAGTCATGAAAATAAACTGGCAAGGGCTTTGAGATAAACTGTGCCTGCAATGGGGCTGTAAAACTGAGTAGCCAGAGTATGGAGAGTGATTTGTCCACAGTGTGACCAGCACAGGACACACACCAGCTATTGGTGGAGAAGGGCCTGGCCAAGCACGGTCAGCTGAGGTGCCTGGGTTTAAGTGCTTGTGGCTCTCTGATGTTTGTGAAGGTTCCCTTACAGTGAATAGATGTTCTTTTTCCCTTGTCACAAGTTTAAAATCCTTCCGGCTTATACAGGTAACCTTTTAAACTTGGCCTAGTGGAATTCCTTCGTGTAATTAGCTGAAATGGGCTTTGCCTCCCATAAAGTGGGGTCATCTGGTAAAAGTGCTTGCCATGCAAGCTGGAGGACCTGAGTTCAGTCCTCAGGATAGAGAAGGTGGAAGGAGAATCATGAGTCCCTATGGTAAGGGACGCTCAAACTGTGCGGACGCCCATCTCTGCCCTTTGTGTACTTCTTTATGTCCATTAAGATTCAAAGATACAACTCGTCCTCTCATCTCTATGTGAACACTGTGGCCCAAGCATGCCCCTCCCAGTCTCTCCCTGTCTCTCCAACATCACCTTGTATCTGTCGCTCTCCACCTCCCCCTTCTCTCTTACACACACACACACACACACACACACACACACACACACACAATACTAAACAATAGAAAGAAAAGAATAAGATATGTAAACCATTGGAAAGATTGGGATGATACATGAGCAGTCAACAAAAAACAAACTAAAAACAAGTGGGATAGCCAATAAATACATGAAAAAACAGGGGCCAGCAAAATGGATCAGCGGGTAAAGGCACTTATTGCCAAGGCTGACCTGAATTTGATCCCTGGAACCCACAGGGTGGTGGGAGAGTGCTGATAATGCAAGTTGTCCTCTGACCTCCGCTTGCACAGTGTAGTCTCCACGTGCACGTAGGCACACACAAACACACCTAAACACACAAACATAAATTGGTACATCTAGAGGTCTATTTAACAATATCTATGACATTTTAAAAACAGACTCCCTTTGCTGCAGGAATGTTATTCTGTACCCATGAATGTAAATGGATGTAAGGAAATGCACCAATGGCTGAGACTCAATTCTCTGCACCATTTGAGTAGCCCTTAAAAACGTTGTCCTTTTTATTTTTTCAAGGGATTGCCCATCCCTTAAAAAAATGTTTGCTGGAGAGATGGCTCAGCAGTAAGGAGTTCTTGCTGCTCTTGCAGGGTTTCATTTCCATTACCTATGTGGTGACTCACACTATTCTTAACTCTAGTTCCAGGGGATCTCACCCCCTCTTCTGTTCTCTACGGACACTAGGCACCCACATAGTGTACATACACGCATAAGGCAATAGACTCATATACATAAAATAATAAATACATTAAAATAAAAAATGGTGATAAAATATTTTAGATTTCATAGTTTTGTTTTGTTTTTGATTTTTGGGATATTTGTGTAGCCTTTCTAGAATTTAAGTATTGACACTAGATGTTTCTGATTTTTGGAGAATTTGGGATATAAAAGCCTGGAGTTGGCCTGTCAGCCCATGGGAACCAGGTTCAGAAAATTATCTACAGGAATATATTAGAAGACAGTACTTATTAAGAAGAAAATCCAGAGTAACAAACACTCAAATGAAAAGGATATTCTGATACAATATTATGTTTTAGAAAGTTATACCTAATGCATAATTTTGATTGTTCAGAAACATGTTTATACCACACAAAGCACGTCTGAAACTGTATTCACTAAACTGTTGGATTGGTTACTTCTAGAGTTCTTTGTGGAGCTAAGAGGAGAAAGTACCTTTTCCAATGTTTTCTATAGTATTTAGGTTTTTCATAGTGAGCATTTTTTTTACCTTTTATTTTAAACTAGTTCAAGGATTTTAGACAACATATTAGACAATGACTTGAAATGCTAACCAGGTTACCATGATGTGAAAACGTACAGAAAAGCTTATGCACAAGAGAGAAAGGCTTGAAAAGAAGAATCCTGGCTGTATTTACTATTTGCAGAAAAGTGCTAAAACTTTAGTTTTCTCGGGTTCAATTTGAGCTATTTCTTTAGCCATTTAATCAGGTTGAGCAAGCCATGGAGAGCAAACCAGTAAGCAGCATCCCTCCATGGCTTCTGCATCAGGCCCTGCTTCCAGGTATCCTATCCTGCTTAAATTCCTGCCTTCACTGCCTTTGATGAACTGTTAGGTGGAACTGTGAGTGAAATAACAACCCCACACAAACCATTTAGTTTAAGGGCCAAGGAGATAGCACAGTGGGTAAAAGCCCTTGAAGCATATGCATGAGGGCTTGAGTTCAGAGCCTCAGAACTCCTGTGAAAGCCAGGGCTGTGGGAGGTTGAGACAGAAGAATTCCTGGACGCTCAGGATCAAGCTTGAGGTGTAGCAGTATTCCAGGAGGCCAGCTAACACTAAGGAAGTCAACAACTCAAGAGTCTCAGGAAGTCCCTGAAACTGACCAGGTGCACAAACCCCTCCTTCCCCAAGGTTATAGAAGCAATAAGGGTTGCCAAGGAGACAGTTTATCTGAGCTGCCTTGAAGCAATTCTGGGACCTGTTGAGCTACCTGCAAACTGTGCAAAAATCTCCAGGATTGTAGCTTTCACAATCTGTCTCAAGTGTTGGGGGGAAGGGAGCTTTTTAGTGATGCAGCTGCTTTTGAATCACCTGTCTTTCTGTAAGTAACCCCTCATCCATACTCCTGTTAGCAACCCCAATAGAGTCATGCCTCACCAACATTGGATTTTGGTTACCTTGGTGTTGTGGGTTTCCTTTCTGGCATTAGTAGATGCCTGTGTTGCATATCCCCAGGTAAAGTCTCTCATTCTACAGGGATAACCAGGCATCCTCAGATGATAACCAACAGGGACCCTGTCTTAAATAAGGTGGCATGGAAGGACTGACACCTGACACTGTCCTCTGACCTTCATGTTCATGCACAACCATGTGCATATGTTCACCTGAATTCACACACCACACCACACACACACACACACACACACACACACACACACAAATGCACATACACACATGCAAAAACACAGACAAATTAACAAATTTAAAGACAGAACAAGATGCATCTCACCCAGGTAAACAAAGTAGGGAGCGATGATGCTGCCCACCCTAGAAGCCATGGAGGTGATGCCCACAGCCATGTTCCTGACCAGGGTTGGGTAGAGCTCTGCAGTGAAAACGTACAGCATGGAGTAGGCAGAGGTGACCCCAAATTTCTCCAGCATCACCAGGCCAATGGACACGAAGTTATAATCTGGAAGAGAGCTTCGTTTCAGACAAGGTGCTTCTAGGATCGATACTGAACTCAGTCACCTTACTGTCCTTTTTGCTGCAATGTGGTGGTTCCTCCTAAAGTACCAGGGGACAGGACTCTGTCCTGAAATATCAGCATCACCAGATGGTTGGAGATGGAGGCGATGTGTGGCCTTGGACTTGGAGCTACTCTTATTTTGGATTATTAATGCATAGTGTAGCCTCTGTCCACTTGTCTTATTTGTTACAAAAGTTTCATGGTGAGTTGTTAGATGTTAATACAATTAAATTTCATCTCTAAAGAGAGGGCCAGTCATTCCTTTCCTGGTTTCTCTTATGAAGAAATATAGATCTAGCAGGCTCAGTAGTGCAAGCTTTTTAAAAAAGATATTTTTCCATTTTGTGTGTGTGTGGTGTTCATGTGTATATGCTCTTTGCATGCTTTTGCATGTGTGTAGGCTTGCAAGGCTAGAATTACATGTGAACC